CTTAATTTCTACTGCAAACAATGTAAAGGTGGTATCTATTTTACTATGACTGGTTGGCAACATAATCCAGTCTAATTGTAGTCAAAGACAAAAGCATTTGTGAATTACATGCTACAATGGCTTGTCATAGCCCTGCTACAGAGTGTGGAGCAGACTGGAAGCAGCAACCAGACTCCAAGTATCGGCTGTGGTTCTGCTCCACACCGCTGCAGAGATCCACAAATTAACGGGATGGTGGGGATTTTTATTCCACGTCTAGTGTGCAGTCACTCACTACCATCATGTTTTTTCTGAACCCCACTTAATCGTGAGCGTTCTACCCGCTAGCATTAGCATTAGCCAATTTGCCCATAGTTTCACTTTTGATTACAAACTTTGGACCGTTTTTGTCTTTTACAATGGTTTGAAAGAAAAGAAAGAAAGAAAACAATCTTTTATATATCGCCTCTCAAGATAAAAATCACGAGGCGCTTCGTTTGTGTCCTTGCTGGTTTCTCTATTTTCCTTCACAGCATCTAGAGCACCATGTTGTACACCAATAAAAGCGTTCAGACTGTGGTGTGCACATTTGACGAAGATTCGAATCAGTAAAAAATGATTTGAGGTCTTTAATGAATTGAACCATTCAATGATTCGTTTAAGCCCTAAGCGAGTCTCTGACTTGCTGTGTCTGTGGTTTTACAGAAATTCCTCGTATAAAGCAATTATGTAGCAACAGTGGAGAGGAAAACTATGCAAAACAAATACCAACTGACTATTGGCGTCTCAGGAGAACTCGAGGATCTTCACAAAATCCGTCACGCGGTTCCAAATGTGTCACCAACAGTCCTAGCCCAGTAAGATGCTGGTTTCTTTGTTTTTATTTTCCTCTTGAATGAGAATGCTGACCAGCCTTATTTACAACTCGTTTTCATAAATATTTAAGACTTGTGCTCCTGTAGCCTGTTGCTATGTTCATTTGTTCACTTGAGGGGCAGATTCAGTCACGCACACACACACACACACACACATACATGCACGCACACACACTTCATCTCACCCCACAGAGACATGAAGATGGCAAAGAAGACGGTGGCTGGGTTGTCGAAGAGGTGTGAAGCTCTGGCTGTGCCGCAGGCGTTGCTGAGATGCCAGTAGTCACACGCCCCGTCACACAGAGGACACATGGTGAAATTGAGACGGTCGTCGCACATCTCAAGACTGAAGGAAGGGGATAAAGCCAACCGTAAGCCACAGAGAATCTACTGTTCCATGTGTCGACATGAAGTGTGATAAAACAGACGTTGGAATTTCAATCAAGCAAAACGGTTTGGAGAAGCTGTTGTTTGAGCATAAGAAATGAATGGAGCTTTTAACTACCTCACAGGCTTTTGTTCTTTGACCCTATTCAGAGTCGGTGTGGGCAGAATTCATGACACACATGCTGCCAGCCGTGCCTTCTGCACACCTCCCACACAAGCGTGACTAAAGCCAGATACAGCAGGTACCTGGGCAATCCCTGTCTCGTGTGTGTGTGTGTGTGTGTGTGTGTGTGTGCGTGCGTGCGTGAGTGCGTGCGCGCGCGTGTGTGCGTACGCACATGCGTGTGTGTGTGTGTGTGCAGCTGCTAAAACAGGGGGTGGAAAGAAATCCTCGTTTTCTCGATATCGATATTGTGAGTTCTGCACAGTGTCTCTGTATATAAATGTTGATGGTTCATTCCTGCAAACTTTTAAAAAAGGATCTCCATCTCAAATGGATCTACAACAGCAACACTTGTGTACCTGGGTACGTTCGTATCCACGGTCGCCACTCCGTAGCCAAACACGATGATTCCCACTATTGAGGCTGGGATGAGCAGCTGAGTGTAAACACCAAGCCACGCGAAATACAATCCGACCTTCTCTCCAAAGTACTTCCTGTGAAAGTACAAGACTACGGTCATGACAGCAAAACCAGGTTTGTGTTGTTTGACGTTTTGCTAGGGTTATGGTTAGGGGTGCAGTGTCACCAATAGGTGGTGCTCTGGTGTGTAAACACATGGTTATAATGAGCAGTTTAGCGGCGCCAAGTCACAACAACGGTTTTCAGAGAGAAGACAGAAAATCAACAAAATGTCTTGGCAACATGCATCCAGAAAATAATGAAAAGTCTTTTGGATTTAGATGAATAAACAACAATCTATTTTTCCCTATCCAGTGTCTTGTTGTGAAGGTAACGGCCCAGGAGGGATACCCAGACATTTCTCTCTAGCAACACTTTGCTGCTCCTCTTGTGGAATGCCCTGGCATTCCTTGAAATCCTCATCAAATGACTGAACCATCTGGCCAGCATGGTGGTGTACTTTGTTGTGCTGTTGCCTTGCAGCAAGAGGGTCGCAGGTTGAAATCCCAGCTGTGGGCTTACTGTACTCTGGTTTCATGCCATGCCAAAAACACGGAAGCTAGGCTAACACTGTTAGCCACTTTGAAGCATCCGCTAAATGAAAGAACATAAACTGTCTCTGTTAATGAATGGGAACAACGACTCTACTCTGAAGCTCCTGACCTTATCTCTGAGGCTAATCCTGGACACCCAGCGAAGGAATATTATTTAAGTCCAGGATCCCAGATCTCCTTTCTGTCATGATCTAAACCTTGAGAGTACAGTGAGGGTTGGAGCGTAGACGGACCAGTAAACCGAAAGCTTTTTGCTCAGCTTCGTCTTCACCATGAAAGACTGGATCATTAGTGCAGAAAAGCCCTGATCCATCTCATTTTACCCTACCATCATTGTATTAAAGACTGAAGGTAAAGATTTATTCCCAAACCAGAGGGAGCATTCTAATTTTCACCTGTTGGGAATCATGGCCTCACATTTAGAGGAGCAGCCTCTCATTCTGACTGAACCACCCTAACCCCTCGTTCACACCCAAAGTGGAACAGATGTTTTCCGGTTTCCGTTTGGAGTCCAATCAGAGCATTCACACCAGCTGCAGCACGGTGCGGATCCACACGCAGAGCTCTGTGTACTTTTAAGCTCCAACTTCACTCAAGATTTTGTTAAAATGACATTTTTACTACATTTAAACATAAAAACCACATTTTTGTTAAGTGATCACTTTGGAAAACATTAAATGTGTAGTTTTATATGGTTTATGAAAAAAAAAGCCCATTTGTATATGGGTAATAGTACAAACACGGAAACATGGTAGGACTGAGAGCTACTGGACATGATGCCTAAAAAGAAGCCAAGGCAGCAATAAGGATGAGCTAACATGTTCTCCTTTTGCTCTGAAAGCCACCCAATGACAGCAGCACAGCTATGGCGTGGCAGGGCGTGGTACACCAGGCTCACATTACCTGACCAGATCAATGGGCTGGTATTTGAAGAAGGCCGAGTACCGTGCCCACTCCTCATGCAGAACCTGAGAGGGAGGGAGGGAGGGAGGGAGGGAGGGAGAGAGAGAGAGAGAGAGAGAGAGAGAGAGAGAGAGAGAGAGAGAGAGAGAGAGAGAGAGAGAGAGACTCAGTCAGTGTGGGTGTATGTTGTCATGTTGAAAGTTGATTTTCAGAGGCACAGCTGATGAAGCCAGGAGCTCTCTGATTGGTTGAAATGAACCTTACAGGACAAAGCTATAGAGCTGTAGAATAAGTAACCTTATCCTGAAGATGAGGGAAACACAGTAGGAGAGGAGGAAGAGGAGCGTTATCAAGTCAAATAGAAACAAGGTGTCTGGTTTAGATAGATCAGGGTTGCACACTGTCCTGACAGCAAGGCTCATTATAAAAAGAACAAACATATTTGCAGACAATATGAACACAAGATCGTGTCAGATTTGTTTATTTGTCAATACAGAGCTTTAAAATGCATCACAGATTTTCTTTTTGTTTTTGCTCTTTTTGTCACAAATGTGAAAAAACATAACTTGATTCATTATAATGCAGTTACTACAACTCTATTTATTTTTTATTAAAGTTGCTATTTTAAATCTTTAGGAGCAAAGGTAGGCACAATATGTGATCAAATATTACAATTGACATGATTGAGATATAATTTATCTCAAATCTGGGAGCATCTTAGGCTAGCCTGCTGTTGTATTGGGCTTGGTAGTCCAGTGGTTAGAGCAGTTAGGCACCATAACCACTGGGCTACCAAGTCAATGGTCTGAGAAATGCTCGTAGTTTCACGATAACCACAATTATTTTACATGAATTGATTTCACATCTGTATATAAATCACACACACACACACACACACACACACACACACACACACACACACACACACACACACTCTCTATAAATGTTTTGAAGCCCTGAAGACATCGATTGCTCCTTTTCAGAGATTCTGCTTAGAAAAATTCATTTGTAAAATCAAACTAATCTCTGTAATTTTGAAATGACAGTTTAAAACTTTTAAAGTACAGTACATAGAAAGTATTCATACACCTGTCAGTTTTTCACTCTTTGTTATATTGCAGCCATTTCCTAAAATCAATAAAATATTTTATTTTCCTCATTAATGTACACACAGTACCCTGTATTGACAGAAAAACACAGAATTTTAGAAATCTACTGTAAACAAATTTATTAAAAAGAAAAAGCGAAACATCACATGGCTCTAAGTATTCAGACCCCTTGCTCAGTATTTAGTAGAAGTGCTCTGTGACATGGATGCTTTATCTCCACAAATCACACAAGCCTGGAGGAGTTCTGCTGTGTTGTGGTGTTGCTAATGCAAACGGTTAGCTTCTACTAGTTGAAATGGACGCTAAATCAACAACATCCTTCCCCGTCATGAGTGAAGGTGGATGAGTCCATGACGGTGTGATGTAGATCTGTTAGGATTTTCAAATACAAGAGTTTCAACGTCAGCTTTCCATCAGAAGCTAATACAGGAGATAGGTGTGGGAGACTATTTTCACATTCAGCTGCTTGAAAAACTCAGTGATAATCCGAAAGCAGGTTTAAAATTGTTTTTTCAGTTTTTCACACCTTTAATTATATTTGCCTAATTTTTGAGTTTCTGTAAAAAAACAAAAATGTTTGACTGTTGAAAACTGGCTAGTGTTAACACTGAAGGATGGAGACACCTTAACGTAATGAGATGCTAAAATCCTACGAGTGCCGTTGTCATCGTGAATGCCCTTAAATATAATTCTACTTGCTCATATCTTTCTTTTCAAATTTCATCAGTAAGAATATTATTTGGACATGGATAAATATAGATCAGGAAATGCAGAGAGGTGTTGTTGATTAAATGTTAAAATGGCTTGCCATAACAGCTTGTTGTAGACAAATATGTTTGAATTGTAGTACTTTAAGAAATGAACCCTCGTCCCCTGGATTGTTCTAATATTACTGTCGAATCCGTTCAGTCACTAACGTAATCTGACTCAGTTGGAGCTAATTATAGCCCTTACCCTCTAGCATCAGCTCCACTCCATCTGGACCGGGTTGGGGGTTTTCTCATTTAGGTAACCTTGAATTTTCCTGCGCACAACCAGACGTCTTTTCAGCCCTCTTCTCGAGGAGGTCCGACACACCCACTGCTAACTGATTAGCTGGCTCAAAAGCACACCTACCATTAAAGGGAGCCTCTGATTGGTGGACATAATCAGTCTGGGGGGCTTCCTGCATGCTCCAGTCATTATCATTCTGGATGCTGTGGAGTTAGCAAGCCTCTGACTGAAGCTGTTTTTCTCTCTCTCTCTCACTGCCGTAAGGAGGCACACACGCGCGCACGCACGCACGCACGCACACACACACACACACACACACACACACACACACACAGTGCTGCCAGACACATCAAAGCAGGATGCAAAATCAGAGTCAGAGTCTCCAAAAGCAAGACTGCTCAGGTCACTATTGTTTAATATTAGAGGCAACGCGGACTTTTCCTCGCTCTTTTTCCCTGCACTCTTTTGCCCCGCCCACATGCTTGGAGATGCGTTCATGACATCACAGAACACAGACCACCAATGTGCTCAATCACGTCCACATTCCTAAGGCAGTGTGGATCAAACGCGGCCAGGCTGGGGTGGGTGGGGCGAAGCGGAGCAGACGCTAGTGTGTCAGTGGTATTAGTCTTCGTGATGATCTCAGAGATGATAACAAGTTGAGGGTATTGCAACTTTTTTCTGCAAGCTCTGAAGATGGGGGAGAGACATTATCTTGATTTTCTCCTTTAGCAGTTTTGGGAATTTACAATATTCCCTTATGAGAAAAAGCTTTTATGGCTGGTGAAAAAGAGAAGCAGAGACAAGCCCATAATGAGCTTAAATATAAGATCAGATGGGCTAAAGACATCTACAGGAAAACGCTGGAAAAACAGCTAGGGCAGAACAATGCTCATGCATGGAGAGGCCTCAGAAACATCACCGGACAGAGCGGGAGGAGTGGTGGCAGTAAATCTGCTGAAGGATACCAGAACTGGGCCAGTGACCTTAACCCGTTTTTAACAGATTCAGCTCCATCACCCCTAGCTAGCTGGGTTCTGAGCTTCCTGCTGGATTCAGTTGAGGAGACGTGTGAAAGGAGGATGTTGGGGGAAGATGACCACCATCTTAAAAAAAACTCCCACCCACTGCATTCAACTGTGGAGACCATGGATGTATTCAATACTCGTGCAATACCACATTTACATAATATGTCTGTGTTCCTTACAGTATGCTGCATAGTTCTGGAACCCACGTTTTTTGTTTTTATTTGTGATTTTTAGTGGTTAAAAGTTACAATAATAGCTTACTGCCTAAACACATGAACCCTTGTTTTATATTTCTTCAAATTGTTCTCTTAAGTGTTGGTGTTGCTGTAACAAGTGAATTTCCCCACTGTGGCATATATTCTATTCTATTCTATTCTATTCTATTCTATTCTATTCTATTAAAGCACTTCCTAGGTGGAAACGGGGCAGTCATGGTGGTTTTTGATGGTTCTGCTTTGTGCGCCTGTTCAGTTTCACTTTAGTTTTTGTTCGCTGATGCCCTCTAATTATTAGTGGTGTTGGAGACAACGTTTCAGTGGGTTAACTGCAGTGTTTCACACAGTCGTTACAGTCAAACTGGTTAATCTCTGCAACCTGAATTGCAGCACTATAAATTTTCAATAAGGTTACATTTTTTGAAGTTAAGGGAATAGGGACACACGATATACCAGCATCAACTTCGCTATTGGACGATGTTAGCATCGGTGTGGTTAGTAAACTTGGGACGTATTAACAACCAATAATTTGCTCGTGACAGTGATAAAGGTGCAGCACAGGACTGAAGAGGTTTTACAAAAGCAGAGATGCATCATAGGCCAATGGAAAGTGTAGAGTAAAAATAGTATAATAATATTGGTAGATATTGATTAGCAACAATAAACAGTAATCCATCCATCCATTTTCATCCGCTTAGCCGGAGTTGGGTCGCGGGGGCAGTAGCCTAAGGCGAGAGGCCCAGACTTCCCTCTCCCCAGCCACTTGGGCCAGCTCCTCCGGGGGAATCCCAAGGCGTTCCCTGGCCAGGTGAGAGACATAGTCCCTCCAACGTGTCCTGGGTCTACCTTTAGGTCTCCTCTCGGTTGGACGTGCCCAGAAAACCTCACCAGGGAGGCGTTAGTGACGAACCACTGGTGAGACACACATCGACTTCTGAGAGACTCGAGAACTTTATGTCTGCTAGACGAACATACCGCTCTAAAATGTTTTACAATCGGCAAAAAATACTCAATCTGGGTTTGTCCAGCATCAATCATCTGGAGTTACAAAAAAAATAATTTTCTTTCAACAAAGCTGAAAGACGTTCAGTCACAGCTGGCAATGACAGACGAATCGTATTGTACTGAAAAAGAAAAACGATGTAAGGCTGAGAACGACTTTGAGAAGCTCAAAGATTTCATTAATCAACTGGAACAGGAACTGGATTATTACCAGAATACTACAGAGACCTGTCAGAAAAACGTGGAAACTCTAAAAGAACACCTGCAGGAAAGCGAACGTTTTTGTGAAGATCTCCAAAGACAGTTAGACCACGAATCGCGGCTGAGATTCAAGCTAGAGCAGGAGAAGAAAAACAAGCCAAACGGCTCACTTTGTCACAAATTAAGGATAGAAATTCATGAATTAGAACAGGGCTTGGATTATTACCAAAATAAGGTAGTAAATTTTGAAAAACAAGTGCAGGATTTACAAAATCAGCTTCTGGAAAAGGAAACTGTGTGTGAAAATCTGCAGCTGACATTAGAACAGGAGTCCCAGCTGAGAGTCCAGTTGGAGCAGGAACAGAAGACCCGTCTGGACAAAGATTTAGTTAATGAGAGCTTAAACACAGAGATTAGTGTTCTTAAAAAACTGAACCTAGACCTTATAGATGAGTTAGATATGTTCAAGTCTAGAAAAACAGAGGCAGAGGAGAAGCTTTCTAAAGAGCTGGAGATC